GGTACTGTGGGGTGTCTGGGGTGCTGGAGGGGTTCTGGGGCACCATGGGGGTGTCTGGGGTGCCGTAGGGGTCATTGGGGCACCATAGGGGTCCCTGGGGTGCTGGGGGGGACCTGGAGCACCGTGGGGGTCCCTGCAGCCTCATGGGGTCCTTGGAGCATTGTGGGGGTCCTTGGGGTATTGTGGGGGTCCCTGGGGTGCTCTAGGGGTCATTGGGGCACCATTGGGTTCCCTGGAACATCATGGGGTCTCTGGGGCATTGTGGGGTCCCTGGGGTGCTGCAGAGGTCATTGGGCTACCACAGAATCCCTGGGGAATCATGGGGTCCCTGGAATGCTGTGGGGGATCCCTGGGGCACTGTGGGGTCTCTGGGTCATTGTGGGGTGCTGCAGGGGTCCCGTGAGGGTCCCCGGGGGCCGGAGGTGCAGGCGTGCAGCCTCTCCCCGTGCCCGCAGACATGAATGAGCACAGCTCCCGCAGCCACAGCATCTTCCTCATCAACATCAAGCAGGAGAATGTGGAGACGGAGCAGAAGCTCAGCGGGAAGCTCTACCTGGTTGACCTGGCCGGGAGCGAGAAGGTTGGGGGGGGGGGGGCTCAGCACCCCCTGGGCCCTGGCACCCCCCTGGGTGCTCACCACCCCCTTGCAGGGCAAGCTGCACGACCCCCAGCAGATGGGCATCATCCCGCGCATCGCCCAGGACATCTTCAACCACATCTACTCCATGGATGAGAACCTCGAGTTCCACATCAAGGTGGGGACTGGGAGGGACTGGGAGCACTGGCAGGTCGGGTCCTGACCCACACACACAACTTGACACCCCCAATTCCCTCCTACCAGGTTTCTTACTTTGAAATTTATCTGGACAAGATCCGGGACCTGCTGGACAGTGAGTGGGGGGGCGGGCACTGGGAGATACTGGATGGGTGTTGGGATGCACTGGGGGCACTGAGAAGCTTGGAGGCACTGGGGAACGCTGGGAGGCACTGGATGGGTACTGGGGTGCACTGGGAGGCAGTGGAACGGTATGGGGGAGCACTGGGAGGCACTGGATGGCACTGGGAGCTCCTAGGGCATGTTGGGGGATCACCACCCCCCCAGCCCCCTCACCCCATGTCCCCCCCACCAGTGACCAAGACCAATCTTGCGGTGCACCAAAAA